CTTTTGTAATGTCAGAATTTGATTGTTACAATCTTACTGGAATCATAAAATTAAACTTTGAGCACCTAATCAAGTTACTGGTCAATTTCAATATCAAATATTCATCTAATCGTTCACTTCGGAATACAGTTGGACTTTTCTTAACAAAATCTAGACTAGGAATTAGCAACAAAATAGTTACTATCATTTTTCAATTTTCAAATCCTAGAGCTGTTCTCGAACTTTTGCTGCTGTTCGTCAAGCTATGTTAACACATTTCATACCTTACAATCTTGGTTTTAATTACATTTCTCGTCAAGAAGTCATTATCAATCATTCTTCTCCACTCGCTGCTCGATTATTATCTGACAAACCAAATAAAGTTGTACTCGTAATCGACGGTACATACTTGTATATACAGATGCGCAATGCCTTAGCTATTTTAAGACTTACATCTGAGTAGGCCAGTCTGAGAAATCAAATCCGTCATTATCGTTATTTATTTGTTCGCACTATAATCAAAGATCAAAAGATAATCCTTGTATAACGTAAACTCATGTGATAGGATCGAACTCATTTCGAAGATGCTTGTACATATATGTTATATATATCGCAGCAGGGGGGGGGGGGATCGCTACAATAAACGCGACGTGCTGATTTTTTTCCCGTTTATTGTAGAGAAACGCTGCGATACTTGTTTAAAAAAATTGAAATTAAAAAAAATTAAAAAGTAACAATTTTTCTAAAAAAAATATATCACCTTGTTCTCGATAGTTGATTTTTTCAATGTTCGACGAGAGTAAAATACAGATTTTTGTAGTTGGTGATGAGTATGTTTGTTGCATTTTTAGAAGAGTCGGAACAATGAATTACAACGACGAATATATAATATTCACAAGCACCAATCACTTGTTAAATCTCTGTTGATTACTATTACCACAGGTTATATTATAGCAGCTTATGGGCCTTATTTATCAGACAGTTCAAACAATGATGCAGCTATACAAAAAGATACCCATCTCACCACTTTTTTAACAACTGCGTCGCAGTTACGCGCAGTAGCCATTCTGCGACGTACTGGCCATAGTTGAGATTAAAGAAGTAGACTGCTTTCACTGTGACGCATTTGCGTTCGCATCTACGACGCAGTGAGCGCAGTGCCTGCTAGAGTATTCCCTATTCTTACAATTGCTGAAAAAACAGCCAATGATAAATAAATATGCTAATTTTTCAATTCGATGGTTTTTAAACACCAACAATAACGGCTAAACGGAGTATAAAAGGATACATCTCAAGCATACGGGCTCATATTTTTCTTTTTCTACTACCAAGATACTTCATTTAATCTCTCAAATTATCAAGGTAAGTGTCATGCAGGGCTCGAAACGGACCTCGTTTTTATGGTCCGGCTCGGCCCAACGCGGCCCAGCTAAAGTGGTGGCCTGCTCGGTCCGTTCTAATTTTAGTGCAGCCTGGTCCGAGCCCGGCCCGGTGCGGATCCAATGGAGATTTTTTATTACTGGCATTTTTCCATACCAGAATCCGAAAATCACATGCATAATTAACAATGTCCTTGAGAGCACATTGTTCGAATGTTATAGGAAATTTTTTAGTCAGATTGCTGAGATAAAAATAAAATCAATATAGGATGAATCGAGCTGCTTATTGAATCAGACGAAGAAACAAAAGATGTTCGAAGATTTTTAAAATAAATAACGATTTTTTTGCGTAACTGAATGTCCTTCAGCACTGTTTCTCTAGTAAGAAAAAACATGGAAAGGGTACTATGTTACTCGTTAAAAGTTTTCGCGATGAGAATCACTCGATAAGATGGTGTGCAGTAAACAATACTGTATGAAAAATAATTATAAATATCTGCAGTAATAAGCTCTAGATAATTTTTAACTCGGATTTAATATGTATCTGCCAAACTTGCCGTCGCTATCACAAGTTTGACATTAATATATACAAAATAAGTTGTTTCTGAAAGCAATAAATTAGGTCCGGAAACTGTGTGTCAATATTTTCTGCTTTTTATACAGAGCATTTTCGACTTACATAAGTCTTATCTCACTAAATGCGCGAACTAGAAAGAGCGTGCGCTCAAAAAAATGGTACACTTCCTTTTGGGTTACTAATTAATCAAAGCATAAGAGTTGAATAAACTGTTGTTTGTAACGGCAATTATCGGGAACGGTTTGTTTTCGACACATTTTTCTGTCAATCGTATTCTCATAATAATTAATGTAATTGATACACTACAGCACTCAGTATATGGTCTAGACATACAATTACTTTGAGATATTTTTATGTGTTTTTAAAATATTTCAATGTAGAACTCGAACATTTTCTCTTTCGTAAACTTTTTCGGTAATTTGAATTGTTTATGATAGATATAAAGTACATTAAATTTAAATAAGACGCCGGGCCGGGCAGCCCGATAAAAAAACTTGTCCCGCCCGGCCCGAAAGAAAAGTTTCGTTGGGTCGAGCCGGACCGGGCTCGGGCCGAGTGTGCCTGGTCGGTCTACAGGGCCGGGCAGCCCCTTTCGAGGTCTGGGGTCATGGATACTTTATTAAAGTAGCTAAAGTAGAGATTTTTTCATAAAAGAAGAGCTCTTTTAAGGAAAAGAACGGTTTTTTATAAAGTTTGATCAAAGCTTTTAGAGGTCGAGGAATCCGAATTTGGAATCGGCTTTTTCGAAATTCTGATTTCGATTTCATCACAAAAACTTTTTTGCAACAAAATATTTTTTTAACATAAAGAATTTTTGTAAAAAAAAATAATTGTCTTTATCAAACAATTTTTTGTCAGATAATCAATTTTTTGTAAAAGATTTTTTTGTTAAAAACTATTTTTTTACGAAAAAAAATTTTTCACAAAAAAAATTTTTACGAAAAACCTAATTATCTGACAAAGGATTGTTCGATGAAAAAAATTGTTTTTTTATAAAAGATTTTTGTAAAGCACTTTGTTTCGTAAAGGAGTTGGCGCTTATACCCCTCCGCTTATTTCTTGTTCGTTTTACGATTTTTTTGCTGGTACTGGTGTGCTGATGTGAAAGCACTATATCATACGATGAACTTTCTTAGTCTCAGTAAGGAATAAAATAAGGGTCACCTCTATGGAGAATAGGGGCAAATAACTAGTATTTCAAAGTTTCAATCATCGAAATTGGATGTATCTGCAGGATAAGCCCTATATTCAGGATCTGCAATAAAAACTACACTAAAAACTCCATTTGCAGTTGTAAAATATCTATCATGCAAGTTTTGTCCTTAGGAGACTCCAGAGAAAAGTTTAAAGAATAAAAGCCTGGAACAGTAGCGCTAAATCTTGGATGATAGATATTTTACAATTGCAAATGGAGTTTTTAGTGTAGTTTTTATTGCAGATCCTGAATATAGGGCTTATCTTGCAGATACATCCAATTTCGATGATTGAAACTTTGAAATACTAGTTATTTGCCCCTATTCTCCATAGAGGTGACCCTTATTTTATTCCTTACTGAGACTAAGAAAGTTCATCGTATGATATAGTGCTTTCATATCAGCACACCGATCCCAACAAAAAAATCGTAAAACGAACAAAAAATAAGCGTAGGGGTATAACCTATAGGAAGGGCGCCAACTTTTTTTTTTGCTAAAAAATCACTTTGTTTTGTAAACTTTTTTTTCTAAAAAAGTCACTTTTCACAAAAAAAAATTTTCTGTTAAAAAAAGGTATTTTTTGATAGAAGAAAATTTGTGGTAAAATCGAACTCAAAATTTCGAAAAACCGTTTTCAGATTCGGATTGCTCGACCTCTAAAGCCTTTGATCAAACTTTATAAAAAACCATTCTTTTCTTAAAAGAGCTCTCCTTTTGTGAAAAAATCTCTACTTTAACTACTTTATTAAAGTATCCATGACACTTACCTTGATAATTTGAGAGATTAAATGAAGTGTCTTGGCAATAGAAAAAGAAAGAAATGAGTCCGTATACTCGAGATGCGTCCTTTTATATATTTTTTATCTTCTAGATTTTTATTAATTTATTGTTTAGATTTTTACTTTTTTATTTTTTAGATTTTTATTGTTTTCGTTTTCTAGATTTTTATTGTTTTTGTTTTCTAGATTATTAATTTTTAAAAAGTTTTTAAACTTTCTCATTTCTTATAAATTTTTTAAATTTTTGAAAATTTTTCTATTTTTTTAAGCTTTTTTTGAAAGGTTTTTTGTTAGCAACTTTTTTATTTTTCTAATTTTTTGTATTTTAAAAGCTTTTTGTAATTCTTAATAAAAATATTAATAAAATGAAAACGTCACCTTGGCATCTTTTTTAGCAACTGCAGTTTTTTTTACCGTAACTATGCGCAACTGCGTCGCATATTGACCGCAAACACATGAGTATTCTAATTAAAAACAAGGACGGTACTTTAAATTGGATTGCTGAACATGATCTAGCTGCCGTTGATTGGGGTTTTCGTGATAGTACCGGGATTGTCAGCGTCAATAGAGGCCACTCTATTACTGCTAACTGTCCAGTTGTTATATAGTGAGTTGTGGTCATCATTATTATTATTATTTTTGTTATTAACTCTTTTGTTATCTTCTTTCTTCTGTTTTCACTATATTATAATTATCATTCCCTACTATTATTATTAAACTTTAATCGGTTAATTAACCTATAATCTTTATTTCTCATTACAAGATCCGGTAAAAATGTTTATTTACTTTTACACGAGAATTCTCATTTCCAGCAGACCAGGGTCTAATATTTAACCGTCTTCTGGCCTAAACCATAGAGTGAGGCAAGAGTCTAAGACATCCCATAAACGAGAACCTCACCGGGATGATGCGAGCACTAGGTCTTGACGTATGTATGCCGGACTTTTTAAATGATCGGCGTCGATTCGATGCACTTGAAGCAAATCGATCACGCTTTATTAGTAAGATTCGTTGGGTGGTTGAATCGGCGAATAGTCGTGTGAAGCACTTCAAATGGCTAAATCAGACCATTCAAAATACAACAACTCCGCAAATGCGTGATTATTTACAAATTGTCTGTGCTCTAATCAATGCCTATCGTGCCCCTGCTATTTCTTCCTTTTCTAATGATGATAGAATTGCTGCTAAAATGTTGGCGTATCTTCATGAACCAAACTTACTTCGTACCTGTCTTAACGATGAAGTTCTCTATTGGTCGAATAATGATGCTTCAAAGCTTGTTGGTTTTCCTATGCTTACAATTGATCAAATTCGATAAATCACTGTTGGTATGTAGTAGCATTATATTTTCTACAGATATCACTGAACTAATTTAATTCTACTACTAATCTCAAAACGAAAAAAAATCTCTCTTTAAAAAATATTATAAACTTTGTCTTAAAAACGAAAAAATAACATTATAAACATCTTTAAAAGAGTTAGATAAATAAAATACCGTTTTTATTCTCGAAAAATAATTGTTTTTATTAACTTTGCTTACAAAGCTAACTATAAATTTACACTGTCACAGGATTCTTTAGCATGAAAATATACTTCGAAAAAAATTCGATTTAAGAGTCATTTCTTTCTATGAAAGTTATTTTTTCTCAGTAACAATAATTATTACTGAGGATAAACATTAAAGGGAATACAAGCTTTGCGGTTGCTTAGGTATTCTATTTACACAAATTATTATAGTTATGTTCATATCTGTAGGTAAATCTTTTAACTAATACCTTCTTGTCATTTTTTAAGGACTATTTCAATTGAATCAGGCACGTGCTTATTCAAAAGAACATTGCTGAACCATAGATTTGAATAATCAGATAGATTTCCCGCTACAAACCTGCAACACACTGCTCCTCAACTTATACGGATTCGCTTCCAATCTCGTCACAGCAATACAAAATCATATGATATTTATATTCAGTTTTCTACAGAAGAAATCCTGAACAGTTGCTGCGATTGTCCAATTGGTGATAGACAAGTTGGTGTATGTTCACATCGCGCAGCTGCAATATGGTTCTTGGCCTACCAACGTCATCAAAATAATGTTTTAAGAAATTAATCACCTGGCTCATACTTGGATTGACTTGATGATAGTGCATTGGTGGATGACTTTGTTGGATCATCTGACGAAGATGATGATTTTTTATACAGCAGTGTTCAGACTTTCGCAAAAAGGGAATTTCGGAAGTTTCGAAGATTTCAAGCATTTGTGTTCTGAATTGTACGTTACTTCCTAAAATGATGTAATTTCCGAAATATTTGAAATTTCCGCAATTATGTACTTACAGAAATTTCTGAAATTACAGAAATTTCTAAAATTGATGAAATTTCCAATATGTCTAAAAACTTTTGTTTTGCACTGCTATATAGTTATCGAACTGATGGAAATTTCAGAAATATGAGTAATTTCCTTTTTTGGAAGTCTGAACATACCTCTTTTTATATTCTCTTTCATGAACAGCAATAACTACGTGAATAAAAACTCTTGATATCCTTGACGAACACAATAACCGATACACAAAGTCATAGAAGCATGCCATACATTCATTATATTTGATTTAGATAACCAAAATGTCCAACTAACAATACGCATAGATCTAAAGAGGAATACATCTAAAAACACTCATTATCAACACTGAGAAACTGCTCCGTCATCGTAAAACTCAATCAAAATATAGGCGAATATTTCGACAAAAGACTAAGTTACAGCGCCTTAAAACAAAGTTCGACTCTGTTCCACTGTACTTGAACTACAATAAATTAAACAGTATAATTCTATATCATTTCTCATAAAATATTCACTTAGAAAATCATTTACTTCTCTTCGGAATAATTGACATCATAGATATCGGATGCCAATTGTCACATACTTTTTGCCATAAGATGGATGGTATGCTACAGAAAACGACTAGAAGACCGCTTTTTTTGCAGACACTTGTTCGGGCACTTTTGAAGCACTTGATGATTAGTATTGATGCTGAAAATATGGCTCTGGATCTGAATC